TCGCTGTAGGTGCCCCGGCCACGGTTCGGGAGCACGCCGTATCCGAGATCGCCAGCAGGTTAGGTGGTCTGATACCTCCCCGTACCCCCGAAAGTCCAATCCCGTTGTGCCTGGATGCTGTTGTGATGGTTACCTCTCGGATTTTACTGTCAGCTTGTCCCTTCCCAAGAGTTTTTTGGACTTTGTTTCAACCCGATCACTAAATCCCAGAACCGACCTCCTTGTCATGCTTGCTTTGAGCGAGTGTGTGAGTCGAAACCCCGAAAGAGCTCGCAACTGTGTTGGATTCCATGATGTGTGATGACATGGGTCGTCCAAACTTCATATACAAAGAAGCAGCACCAACCTTCAGTCTAATTAGGTGCGACTGTTCAGTTCCTCATCAACCTCCGCAAGTTGTCTCTCTCTCTCTCTCTGTATATATATACATATACATAATATTTTTTTGTTTTTTTTGCGTCGTGGTCTCGTGGGTCATGTACAGTAGGCCGTGCAGAGCTTCGGGAAGAAGATCGTCGTCATCATTATTTACACCTGCATCCCGTCTCTCGTTGTCCCCAATGGTCAGAGGATTCCTTGGAGCTTCTGTCGGCACCGCCGCCGTCAACTGATCCAGAACCTGCACTGCAGAAGCTGCTCCCAAGCAGTGTTGTCACCCCAGCGATCACGATGATCATGGCCGTGATTGCGATTCTGAGCCCACCCAGAATAACTCCAATCACGATCGGCTTTTCCCCTGAAGTGCTCCCACCAGCCAGAAGACATCGTCGTTCCGTTTTCGCCAAGAACCACCGGGGCACCATGAGTTTTCCCAGTTCGATCGTCACAAGGGGCACTATCTCCAGCGTCGCCATGTGGTTGACTAGGACAGCCGTCACAATCGTTACAAGGATCAGGATCACCATCCCGACGAGAGTGCGCATAGAAACCAATACAGTAGCATCGCTAAGCGACATGGCAGTCACCGAAAGGCTAGCGCGCCCAAGCGCTGCCAACCTACAGACTCACAGCAGAAAGCCCGGCGCCCAGCCGAGGCTTCGCAGCATCGACGGCCTGTTTTTTCGCTCTCGGGCCAAGCTCATGTGCCTCGATGAAGAAAAGTTCGCAGACAGCTTCCGGAACCCTGCGCATTACAGCAATCCCTTGCCCTACTTCTCCCCACTGCCACGCAAACCCAAAATCCGATGCCCAGCCCTCGCACTTCACGAAAAGATGTCCGAGCAAAGTGTCCTGGACAGGCGGACGGGTCAAAGCGCCCGCCGCAAAGTAATCAGGGCAGGTTTTGGCGCCGCATCCGCGGAGCAACCTGGGTGGGACTCCTCCGCCGCCCTCGCAGGCCGCGACGTCCGACGTACGTCCACCTGCATGTGAAGGGGACTGCGATCTTCGGGTGCTCGAAGGATCTCGAACGTATTGGCAAGGGCAGGCGTGGAGCAACCCCAGTCGACTCAAGCTCAGTCAGGCACATGCTACAAAGGGCCAGGATGCCAGGCCCCGGTAGATTCGACAAAGGGCACGACGAAGCGCCGCATCCAATATGGCCATCCACATGCCCGGCAAACAAGCAGGGTCTGTAAGCCATAGGTCTGAACAGAATTTGGCCCCAATCCGCATTTGTAAGCTATGCACCTGAACGGGGGTTGACTCCCCATCCTACTTGTTGCCGCCCTAGTTATGCTGGGCAATCGCTCGAAAGCTTGGCGGGACAACGCCCAAGCATCACGATTCCCCGATGACCTCCTCCCGGTTTCTGCAGCCGGCAAACGGGTGAGTTCTTGTGGTTGGTTCGGCTGCTGGTTCCTCTGGCCTAGCCGGTGCCTGTGTATTCCGGCCCATCCGGTGCCGCCACCGCCCCCCCCCGGTCTTTACCTTCGCCTTGCGTTGGCTGTGGTTGCCATTGCCCTGGCCCTTGTAGTGACGGCGCCCACGTCCCTGGTTGTTGCCCTCCAGACGGGCTCGGGGCGCCCGATGCGGTTGTAAGTCACTCAGCATTTAGTCTCGGATGAACTGAACTTCATGACCCAGTCGTAGCAGCCAAACAGGAGCAGTCACAGATCCGGCAGTTGCAGGCGGGAGTTGTGGAGGCAAGCGGCAGCCTCGCCTGGACCCAGGTTGTCGTGCGGCGACAGAGAGCAAAACCGACAGTTCTTGGAGCAGCTCTGTTCTACAAGGAGGCTTTTTCCGTTCTTGCGGAGCCCTCTTTCTTTGCGGCTGGACAGATCGGCAAAATGAGGCACCTGGAGACCAAAAGCTAAAGGAGAAGTTCCCCCTGCACGCTCTCGCCACCGAGACGAAGCCAGCGACGTGCAGACCAATGCGGTTCCAAGCGCACGGTTCGAAGTGCTGCGAGCCATGCCAGGAGCGACGTCTTGTGCCCAATCAATTGTGTTGACGGCCGGGCATCAAACTCTTGAAAGGAACTGCCAAAACTGTCGACATCTTTTGAGTTTGCCTCAAGGCTTTCAACCATGCTGGATACCGTTCGATTTGGAAGGATCGCTCATCCCATGGCTCGGTGGCCAACGTTGGAAAGCAGGTCCTCGAGTATGCTGTTAAGGAGGCTGTTGTACTACGCGGACGACCCTCCACATGTTTCTTCATTTCTTCTGCAGGCATGTTTTGTACTGAATGGATCACCTGGGTTGGAGCCAACGTAAACTCCGCATGTAGCAATCGTCTTCGCTCGAGGCTGCCCTTCTAGAACATGCAACGCACCTCGAAGCATTCACAGGCACATAACATGAAGCGAAGAATGCTCTACCCTCGGCAAGGTGTGTCCGGTTCCCGGTCTTGGTCAGGATGTGTCCATGGATCGCCTCCACAGGACGCACGTCACGGAGGTCGCGACACGTCAGGCCCTTCTACTTCCGAAGCCAAGTGCCGTGGAAGATGCAGAGGATCGTGGTTGCAAAGATCATGAAGTAGCTGGGGTCGGGGATCCGGATCGTCACGATGGTCTCGGCCTCCGTCGCTGCAACTCCAGTTGGAAAGCTCTGAAGAGGCAAGTCCCTGGGGGTTTCCCGGAGACCATGGGGCAGTATAACAGAAGAAGTTGCTGCAAGAGCTCGAAAGTACTGCAAATACCAGTGATTTTGCACTTGCTTATCAGAGCTACGCTGTTCGGAACATGTTGTCTTCGCGCGTACTTATAGCTGGAAAGTACGCGCGCAAAGATGTTGGAAAGCAAGGTTTAGGCATCATTCGAACCAGGGAAACGTGCAAAAACTCGAGGTTTTTGTCGTGCGGAATTGCGGAGTAAGACTGTAA